TTTTAATGTGATATAATACAGATACCATAGAGGTCTAGAGAAAGCGCCCAGCGCCCAAACTAGGAATTGTGCCACTTAGGGAAACCCGGAACACCACGGTGCAATACCTCGTCTAATGGTTTCCTGTGTCAAAAAGGACCCAATTGACACCGTTCCTAGGCGCCAGGGCGCCATGTTTAACCCAAAAATGTAATATTATACAGATAATATTCAGGTCAAGAAAAAGAAAAAGTAATTTTTAGGAATTCTGCCGCTTCGAGGAGCCCGGAACACTAATGCGCAAGAGCTCCTCTTTCGGTTTTTGGTATCAACAAGTGCCAAATTAAAACCGTCTATAGGCGCCACGTCGCCATGTTTACCCATATAATGTGATACTATACAGGTGTAGAAAAAAGCGCCAAGCGCCCAAAATAGGAATTGTGCCACTTAGAGAAGCCCGGAACACTTAAGCACAAGAGCGCCACTAATGGTTTCCAGTGTCAAAAAGGACCCAATTGACAGCGGCAAAACTCGGAATTGTGCCACTTAGTTAAGCCCAGAACAACATGGCACAAGCGCGTCTCTAATGGTTTCCAGTGTCAAAAAGAACCCAATGGACACCATTTCTAGACACCTGGGTATCGTTTCACAAAAGCATCGTAAATTACGTACTACTTAGTGAGTTACGACGAACTTAGGTAGTACCTACGCACTACGTTACGACCGTTTCACGAAAGGTACTTAGAACTGTCGTAGAATATGCGCAACTTACGAAGTACCTAATTTTACCGGAAGTTCAATAAAATGGCAGACGAATCTGTAAATAAAGTCAAAAAAGAGAGAAAAAAGAATTTTTCTGCAAGGGAAGTTGAAATTTTGGTGGAAGAGGTGGAGAAAAACCGTTCGATTTTGTTTGCCTCCCACAAAGATGTTAACACCAACCAACGGAAAAACAAATGTTGGAAAGATATTTGCTCGTTGTAGGTATCTCAAGTGAAGTTTTGTATAGAAGTCTCAAAGTAAATAGTTATCGATTTGTTTCATGTCTAAAACTAGTTTTCAAACACCTAGTTTATATAAATTTCCCAAAAAGGAGGGTGGGAGTATGCCTATTAGGCCTAGGTAATATATGCATAGACCTACGATTCCCTATGTTTTGAGAGTGTATGATAATCAAGTGCTTCATGTATCATATGTTAGACAAATTACCATCCTACCTTGACAAAAATATGGAATATTCATTTAAATCTATCTCAAATTTAAATAAAAAGGAGTTCCGACTTCCGAGTAAGATCTAAGCCTAGGCCTAGCGTTGGGTTTCCCTTTGATGCTGACAATGCTTCATATTAATAGACTACAATTCATAATACACACAAAGTTCTATTCATTTTCACTCACCTCAAGTCTTTAGATGTAAATTTCTCCATAAATACAACAATTATCTTTTATTCTCGAGGCTGTATCAAATGGTCTGCATGTTTACAAAAATGTATCATGTCCTTGACCTTTTTTTATAAGCACGTCATAAAATAATCTCGAATCAATCATTAAAACATTCAAGGAGTGAATAAAAACTTTTATTCATGATAATACTCTACCAACATGATGTCACTTTCTTAAAAAGGTTTATGAAAGAGAGAAGCGATCTTTATTCTTTTTATAAAGTAAAATGCCTTTTTTTCGGGCAAAATTCAACTGAAAAAAAATGTGGAGGATCTATAGTTTTTAGTGAGTTGGAAATAGTTGCTATGCTAAAGAACAATAATTCTTATGAAAATTGCAGGCTAGATTAAGACATGATTTAATCATATTATTAAATATACTAGGATTTTAAATTACAAGTAATCAACAAACAAAATAATAATAAATTAATTACCATTTACTACATTACATAAATTTTAAAAGACTTGTAACAACTTTTAATAAATCACGACAGAATCAACAGTGTAGGATGTCAGGAAAGGTCGCCTGCTGAGGTCTGCAAAAAATGGAGGGACATATCGTCCCAGACGAAGAAAAAAGAGGCGGAGTTCCGTCGAGAGAGGACCAAGACGGGAGGCGGTCCAGCCCCCTCACCAGTCAACACCAGCGATATCAGCCAAAAGGTTGTTACATGTTGTGTAACCTTATTAAAAATCACTTTTTTTTGTTCGAAAATAATCCAGATTATTTAATAGGTCCCCTATGAGTTTATGATAAAAAATTCTCATAGAAAATGTTCTTTAACTGTGCACACATGTAAATGGTTTAATTGATGAAATACTTTTTGTTTAGAAATGTGATAAACAAATAATAGATTTTATGATCTTTTTTCTTATACATAGTGCCTTGTTATGTTACGTTTTCTTTTTTTTTAATTAAATTCTTTAAAAGCTATGTATTATTGGCGGTAAGATAAAAAAAAATATACCTATTTTCAGGTCGTGGCTATAATAGGAAAGACTTCCGTTGAAGGTATTACGGGTGGGGTAGATACAGACATTGATATCTCAGGTACGTCCCCCCCCCCAGTACTCTTCAATCCTTCTCTTTTTTCTGTTAGATAGCATAAAGCTTAATACCTTATACAATAGTCGACTTCTTAGCGATTCAATTCAATGCATATGCCAGTAAACAAGAAACATATATTAGCATACCATTTCTTTAAAAAAAATGCATCAAAAACAGTGTACAAGAATGTATTTTGTCCATAAAATAAAATAATAAGTGAATGCAAACCCTGGCTTATGATTAAAAATTCTAATAATGCATTAACAGAGGTGGATTTATTCAAAGTTGAGGACGTTTGGCTCTCCACACCCACCTCCTCAATAAATTCGGAAAAGGCCGCGGTTCCCACCCCCACATTATCACAGTCTCCGGGACCATCCATGTCTTCTCAGGAGAAGGAAGAAACACAGACTGCAGGGTTGGAAGCAGAAGATGTTGTTAAGGCACCAGGGTAATTTCAATACAAACGAATACCAAGTACTTTTTTTTTTAAAAACGTGTTGATTATTTTAAGCAATCTTTGTTGTGTATTTATGAAAAATTTGAATATTGCGATCCAGAAAATTCAAGGTAGAAGCACGTATTAATAATTACCTGCAGAATTGTAGCTTTCCGAAAAAATATATTGATAGATCAAAGAGCAACAGTGCCACCCATTGAAAAAATCTGTATATTTATTGCGCACAAAAGGTTGCGCTTGTGTATGGATTAATTCTTCCAAATCCTTAAATTGCCAAAAATTTAGATTTTAAAAAATCCCGTACTCTTCTATCAAATACTTTCGTATTTGACATATACACGAAGCGCGTTTGGGCTGAATTATCTTAATAAACCAAAATAATACATATAGTTTAAACAGACGAAATTTTCGATGATCTCGATTCAATGATAGGAGGTCTGTAAAAATCAACAATTAGGTATGTTTTGTTGTGGAAACAGTGAAAGATTACGTGAGAAACCCGCGGTTAGTAATATTTTGATATCAGAGTTTTAAAAATATAGAGAAATAAATTGATAAACAGCGCACTTTTTGTGCACAATAAATACCGGTATACAGTTTTTTACAATGGGTGGCACTGTAGCTCTCCGGTCTTTCATATTATTTTTTCACAGAGCTACAGATCTATCTCCGGTCTGTCAAATAATTTTTTCGGAGAGCTACAGATCTGCAGCTATCAAATAATTAGATCGAAGTTTTTTTTCAAATTAAAAAAAAAAGAAACACAGCTAAAGTCGTTAACAATGCAACTTTGTAAAATCATAAAATAGCATCGGCAATATGTAGTGTTATTTATTCTACAGGAAAAATAAGCTTAAGAGGAAGAGAACTCTGGACGATGTCTATGAGCTGCAGTGCAAAGTTCTTGAACAGGAACTTCAAAAAAACAAATTGCAAATTGAGCTGCTGACAAAATTAAATGGACGAGTTTGAAACGGAAAGGATGGAAAAGGAAAGGATTTGTTGTTAGAGCTGTTTGCGTCACTAACAAATAATTGAAAATGAATCTTCGGGAATTGAATAAAATTGAACACTTGACAGATTCTATGTATCACTCTCTCTTTTCAAATCCATTGATTTCTAAATTTTCCACATATGCAATAAGTTTACATGTCACTTATTTTTACAAAAAACGCTGACGAATTAACGCTTCTCTCACTGTCTTGCCATCGTTCAGAGGTCCTTGATAGGTAAGATCACCGTCCTGGTCCGCATCATTAATGTCATCCATCTCGTCCTCTTCAAGTATAGGAAGCTTCAAGTCAACGCAGATATTATGCAGTTGACAGCAAACATACGCTATCATGCAGCATTTCTCTGGTTCATAATTAAGAGCACCTCCGGTTTTATGAAGACATCTATGTATGTAAGAATAAATGTTTAAGTGACTAACTTAAGCTACATGTATATAATGAAGAATAGAGGATTCAAGGTACAAGAATACAATTTATAAACCAGCAAACTTTATTTTTTCTTCCTTTTAAGGATTATATTTACCCATTTAAAGGCTTGAAAAAAAAAACTTGCAACATTTCTTCTAAATAACATGCACCGCGAGTTCTTAACCAATTAATAATTTGATTGCTTTATACAGTACTTTCAAGTAAATTAGTTTAGTCTGATTCGCATTTAGTCTGAGAAACATGTGTTAAAATGTACAATTAATGGCTGAATAATGAAGCGACACTCTCAAGCATAGCAACAGTTAACATTGCCTGGCGACAGGTGATATTCCATGCGCGCAAGGTCCACTGTATTTGTTTTACAATATGCTTCGGTTAACAATGATTTTCTTGAGGTGAACATTTTCAATGTTACACTCAGCTAGAGGCAATATTTACCGTATACATTATGGCATCCCAATGGTATTCGGACCAAACTTTCTTTGTTCAATAATATACATGTATTAAAAGTCACTTTTAGCCTTACCTGAATCGGGACTTCAGAACTCCAAAAGCCTGTTCTACAACAACGCGGGTTTTTCTATGGGATCCATTGTAACTCTGTTCTCCTCTAGATTTAGGGTTATTCACTGGAGTTAAAAGCCAAGGCCTTAAAGGATAACCGGAGTCGCCAAGTAACCACCCATCAATTTCGCTCCTCTCGAACTTGCGTGCAATACCAGAATTTGCCCAGATAAAGGCATCGTGTGTTGCCCCAGGCCATTTGCTCACTACACTCAGAAACCTAGTACAATTAATAATAATGGTGTGAACGTATATACTGAGTAACCCTAAGTTATAGAGGCACGTAGCAACGGATGGGGGGGGGGGTCAGCCCCCCTAACTTTTTTTCCTTGAGGAAAGTCAAATACAGGTATAATATTATAGTAGTGTATGAATAAAAAATGGTACTTAAAGAATTTCGAAACACATGAAATAGGATTCTCGAGTGTGGACAATTTGACAAGGGGGGGGGGGTCCTATTTTCTTTTTTTGCTCGTCAAGTTTTCATCAGGTAATGTTGAAAATGTTCCCCCTCTGGCTGTCCTTCTTGGAACGATGATACGTCATTGGCTTTATATACTTTCATGCATATTTCAAATTATTCTCTTTTTCTCTCATCGCGAATCATAATTTTTTGTTATTAAACTCAATGAAATACCGGTATTTATATTCCCATTGAATATCAAGAAGAATGAAACGTTAAGGCTTAAAATGTTAGACTTTTATAATTCAGAATTATCAATACATCACACTTTGCCATGTGTCTTGAAAATATTTCACTGAGAAAAAGGAATTTGGACTGAACTTGACACTACCGTCGTGTTTTGTATAAACAAAGATGCTTTTTAATAAAACATTTGTCAATTTAAAAAAATGGAATTAATGTTTCACTTATTAGTATATAGTGAATGTTACAAATATTAGGAATATTATAGGGACATACTTCAAGTCAGAATCAACAATGGCTTGTACGTTGATGGAATGAAATCCTTTCCGACATATGTACAGGTGCTCGTCAGATTTTGGCGCTGTAATAGGAATAAGCGTGCCGTCAATTGCACCGACCACGTTTGGAAACCCCGCAATTGAATAAAACCCGTGTTTTGTTTTCAAAATGTCTGCATCTTCAGATGGAAATTTAATGGTGTTCAAAGATGTGGACAAAACTTTGACTACTTTGTCAATTGATCTGTAAACAGAGTATGATCTTAAGTGTCTCTGCTATATTAAGCTTGCAACATTATATTCAAAATGTAACATTTAGATGTCATAAAAATAAAGGAATTTTCTGTTTAAATAATATGATACTGCATATGTATAATAAATAAATATTTTGAAAAAAAAATCTATACACAATGGCGACATATTCTATAAACTAATGTGTATTTCTTTTAATATACAGTCTAATAGTACTACACATGTTTCATTTCTATCAAATTAAAAAGACATATATTTCATAATTTAAACATTCGCCGACTTGCACACCGATGACTTTGAGATACCAAGAGTATCGCCGATGACTCTCTGTTCTGTCCCCGAAGCAAGGAATCTAAGTGCGGCGAATAATTGTATGGATGCTGGCAAACCTTGAGAGCGCTTTGTAGGTCTTTCCAGCTGCTCACCGACATTGTCTAAAATACTTAGGATTGATCCTCTATCTAAACGGAACCTCTTAATCATCTCTTCATCACAATAGGAGTTAAGTGGGTTTAACCGGTCTCTAAAAATACGCTGCCGCCTCAAACTTTTTCGTGTCTCGTCATCGTAGAACCGCAAAAACGCTGCCATTTTCAAGTACTCACGTTATGACGTAATTTTACGTCACCTCCGAGGTGACGTAAAATTACGTCGTTACGTACGACGCAACGTGAATTAAGACGCTTTCGTGAAACGCCGAAATTTAACTACGCACTACTTACGTCGAACTTACGTACTACGTACAACTTACAATGCTTTTGTGAAACGATCTCCAGGGCGCCAAGTTTATCCCTATAATGTCATGCTATACAGATACTATACAGGTGTAGAAAAAGCGCCAAGCGCCCAAACTAGAAACCCGGTACTCTACAGTGCAAGAGCGCCTCTAATGGAAACAGTGTCAAAAAGGACCCTATTGACACCGTTATTAGGCGCAATGGTGCCAAGTTTACACCTATAAAGTCATGCTCTACAGATACTATACTGGTGTAGAGAAAGCGGCTAGCGCCCAAACTAGGAACTGTGCAACTTTGGGAAGTCCAGAACGCTACGGCGCAAGAGCGCCTCTTATGGTCTCCAGTGTCAAAAAGAAACCTATTGACACCGTTTCTGGGCAGCACGGCGCTAATTTACCCCAAAAATGTAATATTATACAGATACTAGTAAGGTCTAGAGAAAGCGCACAGCACCCGAACTAAGAAATGTGCCACTAAGGGAAGCCCGGAACACCATGGCTTAAGAGAGCCCTCACCGGTTTCCAGTATCAACAAGGGCCCAATTGACACCGTTTCTTGGCGCCACGGCGCCAAGTTTACCCCTATAATGTGATACTTTACAGGTGAGGAGAAAGCGCGCAAACTGGGAATTGTATCACTTAGGGACACCCCAAATACTATGGTGTAAGAGCGCCACTAATGGTTTCTAGGGTCAAAAATGACCCAATTGACACCGTTTCTAGGCCCCAGGACGCCATGTTTACCCCTATAATGTGATATGATACAGATACCATACAGGTCTAGAGAAAGCTCAAAGCGCCCAATTTAGGAAATGTGCCACTTAGGGGAGCCCGGGATAACATTGTGCAAGAGGGCCTCTAACGATTTCAAGTGTCAAAAAGGACCCAATTGATACCGTTTCTATGTGCAAGGGCGTCAAATTTACCCCCTATAATGTGATATGATACAGATACTATACAGGTGTAGAGAAAGCGCCTAGCGCCTAAATTAAGAATTGTGTCATTTAAGGAAACCCGGAACACTATGGCGCAATAGCGCGTAAAATGGTTTCTAGTGTCGAA